TCCGCCTTCCTGGGAGGAGTTTGCAAGAAATCCGGAAGAGGCAACCTCGTTGCGGGTGCACCTGCGAGCGAAGGGGTAGGGGTGTAGGGGTGTGTGTGTGCTGCCTGCGGTGTGTTCGCGGGAGGTCCGCAGCTTTTCCCAGAGCCTGGCGTGCACCCCAAAGCAGGTGCCTGGGGCGGGCAAAGGCCCACAGCATCCTTAGACTCCCAGTGAATTTCGCATTTTTTCTACTCAAATCACTCTGTCTCTCGCACTCTGTTTATTAGGTTTATAACTCTTTGCCCACTTAAATTTGTGCAGTCAACCAAGGAAATCTAAATAGGTTTGAGTCGCCCCTTGGGCACAGAATGGCGGCTTTAATAAGAAAGATTAATTGTGGGTGTGTACCTGCCCCAAGAAGGGGCAGCATTCAAGGAGCCGCGGGGGAGTGGGTCGAGGGGAGGGAGCAGGCTCTCGTCCTGGGCCCAGACTGTAGTAGGCGCCTTAGGCATACTGAACGCGGGCCACCGGGCAGCTGGTTGCAGGCGCAAGGAGAGGGCTCCGCAGAGGTGCTAAGACCCATCTCTTCTAGTGTTATTTGAGGTTTTAAAGAACCTGGCTTTTGTTTGCCCTGCACATAATACCTTTGCCCTGCTCCCCTCCCGGCTAGACTCCAGACTCCGGACCCCCCGACTCTGGGGGTGCAAGTGGGAATAAGGTAGTGACCACAGCCGGGGGAGGTCTGCCTATTCCCGCCCCACCCACTGAACAATGTTTGATAAAATGGTTTTGCTGCGAGGGCTAGAAAGTTGATATTTTTGTTGTCGCGATGAAAAATGTATATGGTTACATGGTTTTCTGTAAACAGACAGGGAGCAATTCTCCGCACAATACTTCCCCAAGTCCCCGCACAGAAGGAAAGCAGCCAGTGCCTGAGCCGTGAGGGATCTTGCACCCTGCTCCGCAGAAGGGCTGGGGAGAACGATCCTTGCCCTCAGGGCCCTTTCTTCGCCGCTGCTCCTTTCTACTAAATATTGGGATCCCAGAATAAGGAGTGGCAAAGGGGGTGGAGAGGGAGAGGTGCGGGAATCCAGAGGGGTGGCAGGAAAAAGGGACTGACTAGAATAATTTCTCTGGTAGCTGTCCCCCTTTGAATAATTCCATTTAATACTTGAGGCACCAAGGCCTGAGTTTAAACAAACATAAAACCGAAATCATTGCAAAGACGGGCCCTTGCAGTGATGGGGCTGCAAAATTGTGGTCGCATTTTTGTCAAGAGTTTTCAAACAGTTGCTGCCTTTCCTACCCTGCTTTTCTATCTCCCACGCCTCTTCCCCGTAAAACCAACTCAAAAGGGGACAGATTCCACTCCACAAGATTAATGTCTGTTCATTTGCAGGATTAACCCTCTCACGCAGTATAATAAAATACTAGAGGTCCTTTTAAATACGCCCAATTCCCACCTTCTCTCCTTTCCTAGTGGTCTCTCTTGGGATATCAGAAAACAATACCTAGGAACTTAAGTAAATTTTGGGAGAACTTTTAACTTAAAGTTTTCAGATCCTCTGGGGGCTGCTGTGGGCACCGGTATTGGGAGGCAGTGAAGAAACGAGCTTAACTTTAAATAGCTATAGCTATACATTTTGATTTGGAACTCGTGATTAAAAATCTATTTGTTCCTCTTAGGGCTCAGCAGATTTCAATGTTGGTGATAGGAGCCACAAAATGTTCATTAAAGGAACCTAACCAAGACTACTGTATGGCCACTTTGTGAACTCAGAACTATGGATGGTGGGGGGGTATGAAAGTGTGAGTTGATGTCACGCTGGCTGTCAGTGTGTGGTCTATTGTGGAGAATGGTGCTTTTTGACTGAACAGAGGGAGCCACCCTCCCCCCTTCCCCAGCTCTACTGCACCTGCACTGGATGAGGGAGTCCCTGCCATTCAGCCCATCGCAGATTGTTCAAACAGAAGACATCTCTGACAGCACTCAATTCATTACATTTCTTCCTGCTTTTCAAACCAACACACACACACAAAATGAGTATTGCCAGCCAGTGACAGCCAAAAAAAATCTTAAAATACTTTATATGCAGCTAATTTGGAAGCTCGCACAACTAACCATGAAATATCTTGTATCCTTAACTTGTAAGGCTTCTTGGGGGGAAAAAAAAAAAAAAGATTACCTGATTTTTTCCTATTGAAAACATACCTCCATAGTTTTTACATGGGGATAGTAAGTTTGTAAAAAGACACTGCAGCATGGCACATGAAGAAGTTTCAAAGGGAATGAAAGCAGAAAATGTGCAAAGGAGCAAACTCCCTGATTTATCTTATCAGAATAGCCCGCTTGAGATGCATTCATAATTTATGCTGGTGAATCAGCTTGCTAATAGAGGTGGGGTACCAAAGAGCCAGGGACAGGCATTGAGTGAAGCAGGAGAAGGTCGAAAGGGAGGCACCAAGGCTGAAGTGTGAGCTAAACATTTAAATCAATTTCCTAACAACGAAGTCTTCTCCCCATATGCTCAGGTTTATTTTGCCATCTTAGATTCCAAGATGTTTTTGCACCATTCCACAAAGCTGATGAGAGAGTGTTTATAAAACTGATGAGAGAGTGTTAGTCTCCTTTAAAAGCAGTTGAGGTAAACAAACTCTCACAAGGGGAACTTGATTTTCAGATATTTTCCTCTGAGGTAAGAAAAGGGGAAACAAAGGAAGAAGAATGTGCAGAAGGAGAAGACAGGTTAGCCACTTAGTATTTCAGACTGATTCAATTGTAATGTTGTACAATAAGCCAGATTTGTGCTATTAATTGTGATAGCCAAATCGACCTGAATGTGAGTTGATACTAAACTGAATGCATGTGAAATATTGGCTAATACTCAAGCAATCGTTAGTCTGTTAGATCCTGGACTAATGTCAGAACATAAGGCCTAGATTCCACTGCCCCTCCCATCAGAAGGACATTCAATGAATTACATTGATTTGAGGACGGTAAAGAAAACTTGGGAATTACTTCTGGAAATGCCCAGGTGCTTTCAGCCAACAAACAATTTTATCCATTTTAGAGTCCACAACCAAATGTCTTTCCTCTTATCTACAATTTAAATCACATTCCAAGAAGTTCTCCCAACAATACTTTCTCCTTCCTAAAAAGATTTTAAAAACTATACAAATGATTACCAGAGGAGCCTTAAGGAGAAGCTGGAAACACCACAGCAATGGCAAATCACAAGCAACTGCCCTAACTGCTGGATAGCAGAACCAGAAAACTCTTCACCCACTACTGAAACTTATGCAGGGCCAAATAAAAGGAAGCTATGTTATCAGCTGGAAAGGCTTTTTGGGTAATTTGTCAAGCTTCTCAAAACAAAGCAAACATTAAAAACAACTCATTCAGACCTCACAGCAAACTCTAGCTAGCAAATCACATAACTTTAAATCTATCTATCTATCTATCTATCTATCTATCTATCTATCTATCTATCTATCTATCTATCTAGGTATGGAAGAAGGGAGTGCCTATGAGCTCCAGTGCCACGGTGAAAGGTGTTGTATGCGGGACTGCATACTTCTGAAGACTCACTATTCGTGTATTTGGTTATAGTCTGGGGCGGGGTAGAGGGAGGGCAAAATCCTCCGCCGCCTCAAAAACCGGGACTGGGGAGTGGGGAGAGATACCGGCTCCACTAGTCTGGTCCTGCTAGTGTTCCGATTGCCCTTTCTGGAAGACTCAAACGAATCATTTCATCCCCAAGGCCCAGCAGGCCCTGACGTCACGAGTTGGGGGTGGGGGCGCAGTCCTGCTTCTGGCCTGGTCGCCAGCGATAAGAGCCCTCGGGAAGAATTCACTGCTCCTTTTAATACAGTAATTATTTTTCTGCCTTCTGTGGGTGGGGGCGATTCCTGCCCCAGTGCCGGTATCCCTTTTGGAAGATGCCCAGGGACGGCAAGTTTGCAAGATAACTTCCTAGGCGAACCTTAAGCTAGGAAGAACAGTGGGAAAAGAAGGATGATCTGAACAAGGTTAAATTCACCGCCTGGGACCAGAAAGAAGGACCAGAATTTCTGTATTGATCACTGGGGTCTAAAATGAGAATCCCTTGTCTTTCCTATCACCTAATTCCACTCAACTGTAAGGAAAGTAGTAGCTATCAATTAATCCTATTTTGTGGCAGGTGCTTTGTAGACTACATCTGCGAGGTAAATATATAATTTATTATCATATATATATATATGTGTGTGTGTATATATATATATATATATAGTAAATATATTCCCCGATTTCATAAATGGCCAAGTGAAGGGTGGTCTACATAGTCCCGACCCTACCTGCTCTGATGCTAGAGGGTCCCAATATTCTTGGAAGCCCAGATGACTCCTGTAGCTTCTCACAGCCATGCCTGTCCGCAGCCTCTGGCACTGGGAAGGACTAAGAATGAGGTTACTAGTGCTGAGACACGGTAGCAAACAGGGACAAACAATTCCTTAAAAGTAAAGGTCTGGAGTAAAAGGCAAAAGGTAGGACTTGGGTCAGACAGCCTCTGATTTGGGAAGTCCGAGGAGGCCTAGAATCATCTTGGGGTCACAAGGTCAACATGGTGAAGCTGGAGCTGGGGTGCAGGAGACAGAGAACTCTGACGGGGCGATGGACTGCAGCACCTCGGGAGACTTTCCACACTTGCCCGACACAGGGTTGACCCACCCGGATTGAATGAGAAAATTAAGGCCATTTTGGCAGGGTCTGGGCGAAGAGAATTCGAGGGCTAGGCAGCACCTTCCCAAGGAGTCCTAGAGGGGCCAAGACCAGGGCCGCGGTGACGTCAGGTTCCCAACCCCGCGCTAGCTGGCCCCAGCCTGCAGCTGTCGGCTGCTGGGTCTCTGCTGGGTCGCGGCGAGCAGGGCGCGGCGCGCTCCCGGGGGCAGGCTGTGGGAGGCCGGCGCGCTCCCAGCCCCTCGCGCGCCCCTCATCGAAGGCCAGAGCGTGAGGCGAACGACCGTTCACCGCGCGGAAAATGTTTACCAACAGTGCACACTTCATTCTCTCCATGCAGGCAGACGAGGGTAATGAAACGAATGATTCCTTGGAGCCTTTAAATTCCCTGTCACTTCTTTGCAAAAATAGAGCAAGCATCTCAAGTGCAAAAACCCAGAAGCAGCAAATATCTTTGCATCCTGAAAGGAGAGGACGACCTATTGGCTTTTGAAGAGTAACTGGAGTACAGCGCTCAAGGAATAAAACCATCACCGCTGAACCAGAATACAAATAAACTCCATCTAGACCCGCACACGGAAAATGAACTCTCTGCCATGAGAAGTCTTGGTCTTTTCTTAATAATCCGCCCTCCCAAAGAGAAGTCTTAGCCAAAATAAGAAAGTCAAGTCCGTTATTTCCTAAGGGCCACAGAAGCAAAACATTCAACCTGAAAACAAGAATTGTAAAACTGGACAGCGTTGTGAGAAGAGGTTACCCCTGGGTGGTATCAGAGGTCAGGTTTCCAAGAAAGTTTTTAAAAAGAAAATAACTATGAAAGACACCAAATCAATTCTCTGGTCTGAGCAATTTCCTTTTCTTTGGAAAGCTCCTTCCAGAGCAGCTTACTCTAGAACTCCGGAGGCTGTGTCCCTTTGGACTTTATCCATATTTTCACAGTAAAGGTCAAGAGTGTCTCCCCCTTCTACTTTCGGGGCTCCACCTCATAGAGGAGCTCCCTAAGGAAATCCACCAGGCCATCTTCCAAACGAAGTTTTAAAAAAAGAAGAAGAAATAAATCACCCCCATCACCAACCTCACTTGTGGCTGTCTTGAAAAGCAGCCTTTGCTCTGAAAGCAAGGAAAAGCAACATAAAAAAGAGTGAGATGCAAATTATTTTAAGGCAATAATGGGGGGAGGGTAAGGGGTGGAGAGAGTTGGAGAATGTTAACTCAAGTCTCTGTTACAGCTCACGGTAAAGGAAGCTCCATCCACAAAGCAAAATATGAGGACCTGTTTTGCAGAAATTCTCCAAGAGTAAGAAATAAAAGGGGGAGGGTTGTAAAAGACTCGTTTAATTACAACAAATAAATAAATAAGCAGTGCCAACTAGCAGATCAAACCACAGTCAAACTTCAATCTCAGAGCAGTTAGCTATAAACTGTTAGCAGTTGAAAAGTAAACCTTGGGCACACAAAGGCACTGTTTAATTTTCTTTTTGTGAGGGTTCTAAATGAAGACCCCATCACAGTTAAGCGGTATTTCTTGTCCTCCTAAGGCAGTGATCAGTTGTTTTTAATGTGAGAAAACTGGCAGCTCAAAACCCGTCAATGGAGCTCCAATAACAAAAGTTCTTAAAAGCTGAATGAATTGGGTTTGTAATTACTGCATCCTGTCCCCCCCACCCACCCCTTGTAGCTTATCTCGTATTCATTCACCTTATATTATTGTCAAGGAATCTTAACTCTCCAAGTCTTTGCCTTACCATTTTACATAGGGCCATGGAGGAACTTATGACTCGACAGAAATGGAACTCACCCCCCCATTGCACCTAGAAGTGTTCAGACCAATAAATAGGGAGGGAAGTAGGACTGTTTTGTACCCCAATTTACTCTGAAACTACTGGAACTCAGAGTGTTCAGCCTGTGGAAACTTCCATTTTAGAACTTGAATTTTATTGGCAAACAGTAATGTGTATCCTTTCTAAATATAGAGGCTGATTGAGTATCTAAAATCCTGTGATATCTCCACTTAGAAAAGGCAAACGTTATAAATAAATCCTCTCCCCTTTCCCCGAATGACAAGGTACTAAAAGACCTTGCTAGACATGATGTAAAAATTAAGATAACTTCTGATGTTCTTACTTTTCCCTTGTAAACCAAAACAGTAAATAAAATAGAAAAAGAGACTATAGTTCCAACGCCCCTCCAAGTCCAGGAAAAGGTTTTAAGGAAAAGTCAGCTTTACGATGCTAGGGCTCTGTGTGTATTTCAATCCAAGGCATTGCTGATGGAATAGATTCTCCTGAGATTTCCTACTGTAAGAATGTGTCGGTTCTAGAAATAAGTACAGCTATTACAACCAAATCTACTAGCAGACTAAATAATTAATTGAAGCATTGCTCTTTGACCCTTGAAAAGTCCAGTAGGGACACGTTTATAGTAATAATACCTCCGAATGAGCCCTTGTCAAATATTCATTTAGTGGTTAATGTGAGCCATTTTCCCCTGGGACGGTCTGTAATACCAGCTTCCCAGCATTGGCAAGAAACCTTGCTAATCTACTACTGCTCAGCAAAATATTTTAACGCTCTTTATTTAAAGAGTGTGTGTGTGTGGGGGGGGGGGGTTCAGAGAGAGAAAAAAATTGCAACTCATCCTTCTACACATTTCTATTTCTGTGTATAAGGTTAACAATGCATTACATTCACCCCTTTTGACTAGAAATTGAGTAGTTTTAGTGAGCAGAATAATATCCAGAGTAAGGTTCACTCAACTAATTTCAGTACCAGGAGATAACTATTTTCTGGGCAAGTTTATGGGTTTATCCCCTTCTTAGAAATCTGATTCTAATTAAAATATGCTCAATATTAATTTAGCCATGAAACTACACATCTCAGGAAACTGTTTCACCCAATCAAATGAATGAGGAAATATGTATAATTTTCCTCAAATGCAGTTTACTGAAAGAATTTATGTTTGCAACCAAAATATTTTGGTTTTCATTTAGTTAGGAGCTATGGAAGGACAGGAGGAGAAATAGGAGTGCTTTTGTTTTATATAGTCAGTGACAATCATTAAGAACTAGTTCAACTTCCCAAAATATTGTTCTCTTCCCTCCTGTAAAATATTTGAACCTGAGCATTTTGCCAAAGTTGATCCTTTTAAAATCTGATCTTGTGGACTTTTTTTTCCCTCCCCAAGGAGGTTAATGCAGTCAATTTCACTAACCCCAGTACATATTTCTAATATAGCTCTATTTTTTTCAAACATATACACTCCATATACTTGATTGACTCAAATTCCGGGAATATCCTCCCCACCCCCCTGCAAGATCATTTGGATCTTTATTCAAAGTTTCTTTTATTCGTATGTGTGAGCAAGAACTGGCGAATGTGCTCATTACCACGTGAATAATCCGTATATGCATTACAATGGATGGCCAGGCCCGGGGAAATTCTTTTAGAGTCTCTGCATTAATTAGGAGGGGGGGGTGGTGGAAATGCCTCGCTTAGAATTGGGAACCGGCATAATAATTGTCCTTTCCCAGTACCACATTACTCTAAAATGAACAAATAAAATCCTACACACATCTAAAATGTAAAAAACCCACGTTAAATAAAAATACAGATAATATGAGCTATCCACAACTGAGCCAAGAACTAGCATTAACAACACCAGGAGAAAGACTCCCTTGGAAAAAGAGAAGATGCGAGCTAACTTAGTGGCTGCAGCCGGTACTTTACTCAAGGATGGAAGACACTGGCGGATTCCAACTTCTCCAAAGTTGAAGCAAGTTGACAAAACGAACCCTTGAAATTGTGGGAAGCAAACACACGCTCTTATAAACTTCCGACCCTAGGTTCCTGGTCCCCTTCGGCAGGGGAAAGACGAGCAAGGTGGTAGTAAATCAGAAAGAAAAGTCCCAGAGTCTGCCTTACACATTCTCTGGCTGCGCCCAAGCGCGGGTCGGGACGCGATGTTGAAACATCGTTCATTCAAAGACCAAGACGATACCCCAACTTTTCTGCTCCCACTGTGGACAACGATCGTCTTTCTTTACGTTTCCCAGGGCAAAAGAAAACAACAAATGCAATCTTTTTTCCCACACTCCACACCCCCTCCTACTTTTCTACTACAGTAGTAAAACATTGGTAACAGATCAAAAACATCATAATCTTCAAATGTGATTAGACCGGACAAAGTAAAATATCTACCTCAGAGTTGATTGTTTTCTTCTTTAATATGGCTGTTGCCTGGCTTCTCTTTTGCTTGTTATCAGCTGCAGAGATTATCCGATTTGGGGCTACAGGCTTGGACCGTGCTGCCAATTTAAGAAATGGAATTCGTGGAAGGAGAGAGAGGAAAAAAGAAAATAAATAATAATAATAATAGCCGTGATAAGTCGGGGAGTTTTGCAAGACGCTCTTAGCTTTCTTTCCCTCACCCCCTAAACAGGAAAATGTAGAAGAGAAAGTTTATAAAGTCAAGGAACAAAGAAAGCAAACCACTTGTTTCCTCTCAGACAATAGCAGGGCCTGAGTAATCCAAACACCCACCAAGCAGATGAGCTTTGCGAGTCTAGTTTGCAATTATTCTAATACAAGAAGCATCATTTCCCCCTATAACAAGGTTTCCAAAGGGCCTTTGTACTGTGAAGAAAACGAAAACAAAACCAGCCAACCTGGTTCTGATTGGGCTCAATACCCCATCTGCTAACCTACATGAAAAATTTCAGAATTGACTCCTTCTTTCTGGCAACAAGTGGCATAAATCAGTTTAAGTCCCCATCATGCTTATTCATGCTGCTTAGAAAAAGAGGGGGCGGATTTACAATATATGTCTCTAGTTTCTATTTTAGAAATGACATAACCATTTCAATTTTTTGAGTCCTTATTCAGTTAAACATACAGCTATTTATTTGTTGCAGTTAACATCACCATATGCTTCTGGGCTAAAATACCAAAGTTTTAGGTATTTTACCTTCTTGGCTCAGCACAGAATATTCCCCAAGGAGTTATGTATAATCACAGTATTATCCAAATAAATGAAAGACAAGCATAATTTCGGTGTCCATATTTCAAAAATTTATTTATCTCAAACTGTGCATAATGGAGTAAAAACTTAAGTTGAAAATGTACCTGTTATAAGGATGGTATTAGTTCAAATATATACATGGATTCTCGGCAGACTGATTCAAATAATACAGAGCCGAATCTTTAAAATACAACTACGGAAAATAAAGGGGGGGGGGAAACCTTAAAATATCACAATAAATTTACAGAAATATTACAAACCATAAGAAAATATTTCAAACACAGTAATTTCATGTTGGTTTTTTTTTTTATCTGAACAAAATGGAAAGTTGGGAAACAAAAGCTATTATAAATTACCAATGATGTCAACCTGCATGGCCATTTTTGCTTTTAACAGTAAGTTAAAAAATTTAGTACAATCTAAAACTTTTGCCCCTTTATAAGAAGACCACGGAGATGGTTTTGCCAGTACTTAATTCTAATTTTTCCTTTTGTACAATTTTTAAACAAGTAAAATGTCCAAATCTGTATAATTTTCTTCATTCCACGTTTGTAACTGTCCTAAATTTTAGCTGCAGAATCAAAATTCAGCAAGAAGCCTCTCCTCGAAAAATATTGGCAAATTCTCAGCTTATAAACAATGGACATTTTGATTGCCATGTTTATCTCGATAAATACTGTACAAAAGTTGCTTGCAAATATTAAAACATTTTTTCGTCGCTTGGAGACTAGCTCTAAATATTATTGGTAAAGACTTTTTGCAAACTTTCTGCAAAGCTCCTACCGTATCACTAGAACTTTTAAAAAGTTTTGCGTAGTTTTCTTTCCTCCAGATCTATACAAGGTCCATTCCCTTGCCCCCCTCCCCCCGTTTTCTCTGTACAAAAATAGTCCCCCCAAAAGAAGTCCAGGATCTCTCATAAAAGTTTTCTGGTCAGAATCGCGGTTTTGCGCGTGGACGGGATGGGTGTTCTCTCGTGCAAGCTGTCATTTGCTGAGCTGACGACTTTTTTTTTTTTTCCCCCTAAGCATACCGGGTTTTTCTCCATGCTGTTTCTTAATCGCCTCCCACTTCCCTCGTTTTTCCTTTGAAAATCTCCCCCCACCCCCCTCCAGTTCACTGTCCGGCCCTCACATGTGCGAGAGGGGCAGTGTGCCGTTAATGGCCGTGCCGGGCACCGGGCCGCTCTGGTAGTGCTGGGACATATGAAGTCTGCTGGGGGCTGCGGGCTCCGGCACCTCGGCGCCGGGGAGGTACATGCTGATCATGTCCCGGAGGTCCCCGGCCTGGCAGGGCGCCCTGGAGTGGGAGGAAGAGGTAACCACGGGGGGGCTGGAGCTGGCCTCCGACTTGACCACCGAGCCCATGGAGCCGAGCGCCATGCCGGGCGTGCCCTGCTGCGAGTAGGACATGCTGTAGGTGGGCGAGCCGTTCATGTAGGTCTGCGAGCTGGTCATGGAGTTGTACTGCAGGGCGCTCACGTCGTAGCGGTGCATGGGCTGCATCTGCGCCGCGCCGTGCGCGTTCAGGCCGGGGTGCTGCGGGTACCCCAGCTGGTCCTGCATCATGCTGTAGCTGCCGTTGCTCCAGCCGTTCATGTGCGCGTAGCTGTCCATGCGCTGGCTCACGCCCGCGCCGAGGCCCGCGCCCACCCCGACCCCGCTCGCCATGCTGTTGCCGCCGGGGGCCAGCAGCCCGCCGGGCAGCGTGTACTTATCCTTCTTCATGAGCGTCTTGGTTTTCCGCCGGGGCCGGTATTTATAATCCGGGTGCTCCTTCATGTGCAGCGCTCGCAGCCGCTTGGCCTCGTCGATGAACGGCCGCTTCTCCGTCTCCGACAAAAGTTTCCACTCGGCGCCCAGACGCTTGCTGATCTCGGAGTTGTGCATCTTGGGGTTCTCCTGGGCCATCTTGCGCCGCTGCCCGCGGGACCACACCATGAAGGCGTTCATGGGCCGTTTGACGCGGTCCGGGCTGTTCTTCTGGTTGCCGCCCGCCGCCGCGGCCGTGGAGTTCCCGCCGCCGCCGCCCCCCGAAGTTTGCTGCGGGCCCGGCGGCTTCAGCTCCGTCTCCATCATGTTGTACATGCGGGCGCTGCGCGCGGGCCGGCCCGCCGGCGGCCGCCGACCCTCGGCCCGGCCGGGACTTTTGGGGGCCCGCGGGCGGGCGGGAGGGGGCGCAGCGGTGGTGGTGGTGGTGCTGGTGGTGGTGGGGTGGCGGGCGGGGGTGTCGGGAGCGCAGGGCTCCGCGAGGAGAATCAGACGAGGAGGAGCAATTTGGGGGAAGAAAAGAAGAGAGAGAGGCAAACTGGAATCAGGATCAAAAAAAGCGCTTCTGTCCTCTTCTGGCCGATCCCGCCGCCGCCGCCGAGGGTTGTTATTATTATTTTTTTTGGAAAGGCTTAAGCCCGGGGCTCAAAGTTCTCTGGCTTTTCTTTCTCTCGCCTCTTCTTTCTCCCAGCCCTAGTCTTAAAGAGGCAGCAAACTACTTTCCCCCTTTTGCAAACACTCTCTTCTCTGCCTTGACAACTCCTGATACTTTTTTGAACAAGTTAATAGACAACCATCCATGTGACGGGGGCTGTCAGGGAATAAATGGGTTTCCGGCGACCAATCAGCGCGCGCGGCTCCTCCACTCGCGCCCGGCCTCGCCGCCGGGTTTTGCATGAAAGGGGGCGGGGCCTGCCGCGCCGCGGGCTGCGCGGGGGAGGCCCGGGCGCGGGGGCCGCCGGCGAGGGGGGGCGGCTCCCCCCGCCCGCCTGCCAGCCACTGAGAAACCTTTGTATCCCCGCTCGCAGCAACAGGTCACACCACACGCCTTTTCGAAGGAAGTGGGTAAACAGCGCTGAGACTCCCGATTTTTTTTCTTCTTCTTTAAACTTAATGTGCATTTACTTTTTTTTGGTGCGGGGTGCTGAGACGTGGACGGGGCGCGAAAGGCGACTCCGAGGTGGGGGGGGGGCAGGGCAGAGTGGGTGGGTGGGTGGTTCAGGGCGCCTGTCCTACTAGGGTTGCAGGAAACAGGCAGTGCTGGAGTTGCTGTGGCATTGTTCTCTGCTCTTCCGCACGCTGCCCCCCAAGTCCAGCCCCCCAACTCCAACCCTCCACTCCCCCCCCCACCCCACATCTTACAGCGCTTCTCGCTAGCCTTGTGCTTCTCCTCGACCCTGTTTTTCCTCCACAGGTGCCGACACTTGCTCCCCACCTCCCCACCCCCTTCCCACGCTGTCCGGCAGTAACTCCGACGGGGAGCTCTGTCCTCAAAACCCTCCTCGCTTCCGCGCAACTTGCTCTGTTAAAAATAAACCCTGCTCGGGCTAAGCCGCCGACACTAGGACCGGGGACAGGCAGGGCCTGGGGAAGCTACTGCGGCCTCGCTTCTTTGCCCACTTCGGCTCTCAGGCCCAGGAGGTCGCAGCTTGTCGCCCCACCCTCAGCCCCAATTGCCCCCCAGTCTGTCTTCACTCAGTGGGCGCAGGGGGGATGCCTCTACTCCCCCCCCCCCCCCCCGTCTCCACATTCTCCTCCTGAGCCTTCCCCCACAAAGATGCATTACAGGGGTGCGGCTTCAAAAGGGGTCTGGGGGTAGGAAGAGATCACCGGGAAGGCTCTCAGAAGTGCAGGCCGTGGGGGAGGGGAGCCCCAACTTCCTGGCTTACCCCCCCACCCCACCCCACTCCACCCCACCCCCCCGCACAGCACCGAGGTGGCTCTTGGGCCGAACTCACAAACTCCCTCCCCCGCAGACAGAGTTCCCAGGACTTGAGCAGAACCAGCCCTGGGATTTCTACCGGGGCCTCTTCATCCGGGGCTGCTGGGGCTGGGGCAGCCCTGGAAGGGAGCCCCGGGGCTGGGAGGTGGGGAGGTGCTCGCCAGGCACAGGTGCAGGTCGTACCGGCGAGAGAAAGGCAACCCAGACTGGGGCAGGAGGTGGCCCGGCCAGGCCGGGGCTGCAGGAGATGGGATGGAGGCGGGGGGGGGGGGGGTAGGGGCTCAGGAATCCTGCCCGCCCTGGACCCAAGAGGGTAATTTTAGCCGCTCTCCCATTGTCCCGACGTAAAGATTTCAATAGGTAGGAGCTCAATGCGGAGAGCAATGGCAGCACGTCCGTTACAAATAGGTAGTTTTGTTTCTCTTGTTGTCGCTACACGGAGTCAAACAAAGCCCCGTCTAAGTTTCCTTCCACTCTCTTGTTGGGATCTTTGTGGCTAAAATGCACTTGACTACAAAGGAGGGAGGGGGGAGAGAGAGAAAAAAAAAAAACACAACAAAACCCTGATGCCATTTCTTTTTTTTATAAAGGGCTTAAACCATTAGGGTTACTTATTTTCTTTCTTCTGTAACACTCACTCCGCCTCCTCTTCCCCAGATCTACCCTAACTCACCCTAAGAAAATGTCCTGAATAGTATCTGTCGGCCACGTTCCATTTATTATCTTTACAAAACTGTGCATTGTTTTGTTCCTCACGAACCTCTTCTTCCCATACCCGGCTCGCTCCCCGACCCCCTGCTCCAGCCCTGCCCTCCCGAGTTTTTTCTGTTCTTATCAAACTCCAGATAGGAGCACGCTCACCGCAAACCCAGAAAAGTTGTGGGAAAGACTCCTGCAGGCGACTTTTTAAATAATAAATTATTATTCCACTCAACCTCCCCTCCCCCGGAGTTTCTCTCTTTTTTAATTTTTTTTTAACCCCCCCTTTTTTAAGTTATGGTTTGTTTTAGTTCTTGGAAACCCGGCAAGATGAGGCTGGTCTTCTCGAAAAGCAAAACTATATGGCACTCTTCAAAATAAAGCAGTGTCTTCTGTTTATTCGAGGTGTAATATTAAGCTAAACACGGACCTGGAGATTAGGAAAGAGAAAAGGTTGAGAGGATCTGCAGAAGAGAAGGCGGCCCCGGGTTTTTCCGTGCGCCTGTTTTCAGGGATGTGACTGGTGCGCCCCCTACTGGTAGATTCGCTTTTCCAAGAATATTGCTTTTACCTTTAAAAGGTATTTGGAAATAATTAAAGAAAAAAATAAGGGGGATGGGAGGAAGATCAAACTAATTACACGTAATCTAAACAAAAGAAAAGTCGACATATCATATAAGCTGTGGAACCAAATTATAAGAATCAGATTTAATTTGCTTAACTTAGAAATGTACATATAACCTCGAGGTAAGTGGGAGGGTGAAGCCATGGGAAAAAATAGGTACAAATTATGAGATTCAACATATGAATGAATTATGATTGTCCAGATGCCACGAAGGGCAAACCAAGCATTCGCTTTATGATTGTGTGTGCATTGGCGCTTTAATAGCATTATTCTGAAAATTTAAGAAAAGCTATGGATAATTAAGTTTGAAGAAAAAAAAACCAAGAGGTTGGTGTGGATAATGCTGGTGTATATGTATTAAAATAAATATTAATATTAATGATGTATAGTTGTAGAAGAAAACATTCTCTCTCTCTCTCTCTCTCTCTCTAGTAGTAAGGGAGCACAAATTTGTCTTTGGGATGATATCTGAAAGCTTTTATACATTCTAAGATGCATATGTTTGCGTCTGAACTCTATAATAATGCATTTAAGAGGTTAAAGGGGTTGACTAGGTCTTTTGTTAATTGCCTTTATCATATAAATAAGCTATGGAAATACATTACAATTGTCTTATCATTGGTTGCATTTATTTACAGCTTTATTTTAATTAAACCTGCTATACTTATCAAGGCAATAAACTAACTGTGGCTGACATTTATGCATAATAATGTGCAATGAAAATAAGATTAAAGAAGATGGTGATAGCAGAAACAATTTTCTCATTAGAATTTTTAGAACATATGCATTAAAAAGATCAGATCGCCGGCCACTCTATTTCAATCCAGCACCATCACTGGCCCCTAAATAGTATAATAACTATAACAATCGCAATAGGTGACAGAAACCAGCACTGTTTTAGGTTTATAACAGATGCTACAGTACTAATAACAATACACCATTGACCACTGGGGAATCAAAGTAAGACTTGGAAAAGGGTGTTTCATCTGCCGAGAATTAAAAATGTTGCTACTGGCACAATTTATGAAAATTGAACGTGCGTAATCTAAGGAGAGCGCAACATTTCCCTTCCAATGGCAGCAAAAAGCTGCACACTATTAGAGCAAGATTAGAAATTAAGTGCAAAAATGCATAACACTTGGGGTATTCTAATTTGATTTTGTTCTACTATGGGCCCTTGCCAAAAACTCTTAACTGATTAAGGTGTAACTCAATTTTATTTAAAAATCCTTTGCACTGATATTTCTCTCCTAAACTCCCTTCATGCCTCCTCAAGTATTCTATCTCAAGCCAACTAACAATTTCGTGAAGATAGGGGACTGTAGACTTATTTTTTCTTCTTAGTGGCAAATAGAGGTTTAACTTGCAATAATTAGGTGAGAACTAGCCAAGCATCTTACTATTATGATGCTTGTTAAAAAACGCTCCTTTTCTGCATCTGCATTTGAGTGTGTTCCCCTCCTCTCTTAATCTTCTTATGGAAATGAAGGCAAACGGCGGGGAACCTGCAGAGTCTTGGAGAATGTCCTTGTTAACTGGAATTTCTCAGCATTGCTAATTAGTAGAGTTTGACGACCACCAGTATTGGGGGGAAAGCTCTGTTTAACCACTCACAAGCCATTTCGAGGAAGAGCAGACTAATTTTATTTTGTAATTAAAATCTGAAAAGGGCCCTATTTGACAGTTAGGGCTATGAGAGTTTTATCTCCCTGTGAAATAATTACTGCCTTGATAACTCAATTTTCTGAAAAATGTCAACTGTGGGTTCCAAAAGTTTTAATTTCATTACGTAAGGAAAAAAAAAGGAGAAAATAGAAGAAAATGTACAGAAAGGCTTCTAATTCTGGAACTGGTTAAATATGTTAGGAGCCAGATTTGGTCAGATGAAAGATTTTTTTTCTCCCCCCCTTTTTTAGACTCATGTTTCCTTTAGATCCTAACCTTCCAATCATCTCCACTGAAAGTGACCATAGCTCTGCTCATAATGCAGTAAAAGAAATCAAAACAGTGTGGTAAGTAAGAAACAAGTAAAACTAAAAAGAGAAGTAGTATGGCAACCAGTAAGTTCCTGATTTTAAAAGCAAAATATAAAGAAAAATCCCAGTTGTCTAGGACAATACTGGTGCAATTTGGTAAAAGGAGTCTTAATTGATACTTATGTTCCAACACACACACACACACACACACACACAAAACAACCCTGAGAATTATAGAACAAGGAGACCAGTATAAGTTAATTTTAAAAATGTTTCCTTCTCTCCCCTAGATCGCAAAAACACCTCCATCACTCCAAATTGGAGCATGCCACAAGACTTTACAGAATGATCAAAGCTAGATTCTCCAAGATTTATGAGACAAGCACAGATAAATGAAGGTAAAGAAAGGTATTAGAGGATTTTCCTTTTGAAATCACATATTCCAAATACAGTCAGTAATAAGTAAGCTGGAAGAAGTTAAGATATTGAAAGTGAGAGCAAAATTAGATTAGATTTGTACTGTTATCAAACTTCATTTGCTTTAGACTGTGGAGGATCCTTTACAGGAAATCCTAGAGGGGACAGTTCAGTCCAATTTTTGTAAAATCATATTCAAAAATGAAATAATCTACATTTCCTCCATTTTTTTCTATTGCCAAACTTGTCGGATTTTGGAACTGTGCAGGATTATTGGCAGGAACTATAATAAATGTTTCCAGATGATACAAAGAACAAACATATAGTTCTATACCTTTTTATTTACTAAGGCATAGATACGCATATAGATGCATGGTAGATGGGCAATTTAAAATTGCTCAATCATATTTTTTTCTTCTTGTCCCTCCTTTCAGCACCTTGCCTTTAATTTCCAGAAGTGGCATTACACATAACAAATGAACAAGGGGATAACAAATGCTATTTCAGTCCAGACCCAATTTCACCAAATAATTTCACTCAAGAGCTGTAAGGACCCTTGAAACCTAAGGAATGCAGAGCTACTCTACATTCAACTCCTTTTTATACTCATTCTCTTTCATCTAGTTCCCACTGATGAAATACATTTTTAAAAGAATTCAATACTTAGAAAACTAAATATATTTCCTTTACTTCAAATTATAGCAACAAAAGTTAAGATATAATCAGTTGTAGATAAGATATAATCAGTCTTCAGGGACTGTATATAATAATCACAATATTGCATATATTTTCACGTATATATGTATATCCTCTATATATGCCAATTGAAATATTTTCTGGAAAAGGGATTCCCACTTTATCATTTCACTTCCATTTCTGAATTACCACTTAATTTTAACATAAGAGTCTGTCCCTGCTCTGCAGCTGTTGTCCAGGGGAAAATGCAGTGTGTCCATTAAATGATCTAATTATTTTAAATAGAAGTTCCCTTTAGAAAAAAGACAAATTGAAATTTTAAAGAGATGCCACCAGTGGTTTTCAGTTGCACTGAGGAAAAACACCCTAATTTATGATTTTGATTTTAAAAATTAGGAGAAAGAAATCAAAACCAAAACCTAGCAAACAGATCACCAGAAACTACAAGTGGCCCAACAAACCCATGGGACATTTTACACTCCTGAGACATTGCTCAGGAGTATAAATACACATCTCCCTGACTGACCACAACTATCTAGTGTAATTTATCATACTAAAGGAACAAGGCTTTCTTAGAACCCTAATTTTCCAGTGATAGGGTTGTAATGTAACTCTTGGTTTAAAAATGATTGTTTTAAATTATCCATCTGTGATTATTTCATTTAGTTGTGACCACAACTTCTGTGGGAAAAACAAACCTAAGTCTTCTATAAGGTCCCTCTAGACTATATTAAGTGACCCATGAAAGACACCCCAGTACAGACTGGGCTACACTCACTGCAGTGGGAATCCACCAAGCAGGGAGAAAGCTTTCCCTTCTGAGTTGCAGTAATGGAACTTAGTTTTCTTTCTTTTGGAGATTTCAGATGCATACTGCTGTGTTACCTGCAAGCCCCCTTTCCAGAAGTACAATTAGACACAGTCACGAAATAAGTGACAAAGCCCAACTATTTCAGAGCGCAAAGGTATATGACACCCCAAAAAGCAAGTAGGGGAGAAAAATTAGATCTACTTAGTGTGTGTGTGTGTGTGTGAGAGAGAGAGAGACAGAGAGAGAGAGAGAGAGAGAGAGAGAGAGAGAGAGAGAGAGATCCACCTGTGGCTTGAAAAGCAGCTTTCAGCAAACTATTGGGGGAGAAAATCATCCTACAGTCACCACCAGCCTTAAATAAAACTATTACCCACTTTTTCTCAAAGATTTGCAGCTGCCGCTAGCCCTGGAAAGTGCTTTAAATCAAAGTGCACACCCATCGGCAGCCTGGTATCCTCCGGGCTTCCCACTGACATCTGGAGCCCTCTCCCAAAAGCTCTTCCACCTCAAAAGAAATGTCTGAGAAGTCTGCCTTCCCGGGGGCCCACTTCCACTTGCCCCCTAGAGCCCCCCCTTCCAGTCCTGCCTCAGATGGAGTTGGGCTTCCAAATCCATCCCAATGGAATTCTCAGATCACTAGCCTGATAATCTTTAAAGGCTCCTTGGGAGCTGGGCCTCTGACTTTTATCTCCCCTCCCACCCTTATTCCCTTTTTGTAGGCTCTCCCCACTCCATTTCCCCTGCCCCACCCCCCTTCTTAATTTAAAGATCATTGACACGATAGTCTGTAATGAGTCCTTCAGAAACTGTTATGATCTACAGTGACAATCTCTGCTCCTAATTCACAGATTATTGACAAGCACCGTGGGCTCAGTGGTGTCAAGTTGTACTTGTGGTTTCAACACCCTTCAACAACCCACATAGCAGCTGGGCCTTGGATCAGGACCCACAGTCTGGCAGTGCTTATCTGCAGGTCTGAGTGGTGGAGAGATGAGTATCTACCTATACCTCAGCTCCTTCAAGCCTGGCTGGGCTTTCTCTCTGGCGCCTTCCTCTGTCTCAGGATTGGATCAAGAGAACGAAAGGATCTTTAAAGTCCTTTTTTTTTTTTTTTTGAAGTAAAAGAACAAACTTAATAAATGAAGTTTCATCCTTGTATCCTGATAATTAGTCATTTTCTCTATCCCCAAATAGCTACCACTCTTCAAGACACATATACTGGTTTTCAGAGTGAGGGTTGGGTTCACCAGGAAAAGTGTGAGGGGTGAGGGGAGAGGGTGCTGAGGGCTTGGCATGGACTCAGTGGGCCTAAGCTAGGCTGGCCCACCCTCCTGGATCGCCCTCAGAATCCGGCAAGATTGGCCACTTACAAAGCAGGGCGCCCAGCCAGCAGGCGCGGGCTCAGGCCTGGACGCTAGGACAGGAGAGCAAAAATGCCCGCCCCGCCTCTAAAGGGCTCTTTGCTGCTGCGGAGAGACGCGGCCGGTTGCCAGCCGTTGTGGCTTTGCCTGCTACTAAGGAGTCAGCCACTCGCTGCCCCCTCCCCAACCCCCAAAGATGGAAGGATTGCCTTCCTGCTGGCCGCCTTGGGGCGTGGGATTCCGGCAGGGGCTTGAGGTCGCCTGAAACCACAGAAATGACTATCGCTGGGAGAGCTGGGTGGCATCCCAGGCCTAGGCCACCCACTTGTTTCGTTCTCTTTCCTAAATTAGGGCTCTCGTTTCCTCCTTGGTTCTTGGGGAATCGGGAACTCACTGCCCACCCGCCTGCCCAAAGCCTTCTGCGGTTCCTCCCCTTGCCTGCTCCCTGCAGGTGGGGACCCCCGGGAGCCGGAGGAACGCAGGCTGGGGAGCCGAAAACTCCCGCACTCTGCCAGTGCAAATTCCACATCTCTCCCCTTCACGGGTTGCCTCTGAGATTCTGCTGGCTCTGGCCTCCCCACGCCGCGAGCATCCTTGGCCCGCGGCTGTCAGCGCACCGTTTGTTACCTTATGGGGTTGGCGCTGGTTCACAAAGCTGGCCCGGAGTTAATATTTCTGTAATGGGGATTAGTCTTTTAGTAAAGCAAAGGGTGGGGATGTCAGTAGCAGGGAATACCGCTTGCCAGTCATTTCGATAAAATTCCGGGTAAAAATGCATCAAAATGGATGCTTTTCCTGCCACTGGATCCGAATTCATTTATTGCGAAATATAAACCGAAATTAGATTTTGGAATCAGATGAAGAAGGCATGTCTCATCGCAACGAACAGCAATTCCCCTGAAAACACAATTTCGGATCTGCTGATTTGGGGTGGAGGAAGGAATAAATCTTTCGACCAATGTAAATAACTTAGGTAGCCACAGTAGTAAATAATTTTAAAAAGTCATTCTGTTAGGACAATTAAGTTGGTTTCCTTCAATATGCGTTCTTTTTTTTTTTTTAAAGGTCAGGTCCTAAACTTCGTAAGATTTTTATCTAAAAGTTAAAATTCTAAGTCAGTCCTTGTAGATCGAATTTAAAAAGCACCTTGTGGAGCTCATATGTTCACTCAGCACACGGATTGTTTCCATCTGATTTTAAACAACTAAAGAAACCCCTATTCCCCCCATTGTTTTAAATTCAGAGGATGCTCATTTTTATAGCTAGGCTTCCTGAAAGAACTCCAAGGGTACATTTGTCCTCACTTGCTGACCAAAGAAAAAGTCAGAGCTCTTTCTTAGGTAGACAGGTAATTTTGGGAAGTGTAAAAGTACTTCCATTCCCCTGGAATAATTTGGATTCCTGGCCAATGAAAATGCCGAATTTCAAAAGAAAATACTCTTTCTCATTGAGACACCTTTTCCGAAATTCTACGGCTAAGATAAAAGAAGGAAGGTGTCAGGCACCTGTTTCTCAAACAATACCGCTAGTCAGCAAAGGAAAAGTTTGATCAAGCTTGGTTTGGGGGATGGGGGACATGCAGAGACGAGACTGGCCTTTTAATTACACTCTGAACTGAAATTAAAAAGAGCACGTTATTTCGCTGACTCGGAGACTCAGTTGCAATACTCGAAGGACCTCCGAGGGCGTTCAAGGTGTACACTGACAACGTGCAAACAGCATCTTCCGTTTTATTTTTTGAAATGTGAACAGAATGGGAGAAGTAAGTTTTACTTGTTTTTCCACCACTGCTACAGAGGAAATAGTCTCTCTCTTTAAAAAAAAACCTTGTTTCTGTACCTGTTTTATTATCGCATAATCTTTAAAAAGAGTCCCAAACCCAGACGCGGGTAAGGAGTGGATGGGGTGTCAGGAAGAGGAATAGGTTAGTCTTTATTTTTTTTTTCAGTTTAAATTGTATGATCACCTTTTTATTTTTTACTGAATTAAACTTATATTATCATTTAAGGATAGAAAAACTTGTTTCCTCGCCCCATCTCCTTTTTGGAGGGCAATAAAGAGTTTTATCTAAGCCCGGAGCAAGGTTCTAGCGATTTCCAGGACTGGCGCTGCGCATTTCCCACTGTGTCCAACAGGGGGCGCTGGGCACGAACCTGCCCGGCGGCTCAGCGCCGCTTCACATCTGAGTCGGGTTCTAGCCCCGGAAGGCGAGAGCCGCTGGCGGGGTCGAGTACAGAGCTTTAGTCTTCGTGGATAAAAAGAGATTAAAGGCTAAATTCTTTTTTTGGGTGTGTGTGTGTGGGGGGGTGGTGTTATCAATTTTAACCAACTACGAAAATGTAGAGCTTTTTATCCTTTGATGTTCTCATAAAGAAACTCCTATCGGTTGAGGAATTACACGGTTTCTGAGCCAACACTGCAGCTACAGTGTGGGAGAAATTATTTAATTAAAAATATATTTTTCCATCTGTTCACAGGATCTTTTTAGAAGTACTTAAAAAGCTGACACTGATCCCTTTGGCCTGTTAACCCTGCCCCAAGTTTCAAATACTTTTTGCTATTTCGAAGGCCCTTCTATTAATTTGAAGGGGAAAGAAAGGGACCCAAATATTTAAATCCCCCCTAAACAGTTACTCTTCTGCATCCCCCCTTTTTTTTTTTTCTTTCTTTAAACAGGGGCTTTTATGTGACTGACACATTTCACGTTGCCGATTGTGCAAAGCCAGGTATAAATGACAAGAAGCAGCACTTAAAAAAAAAATCTGATGTTGGACTACATAACACCCATGTATAAGATGAAATCTAAATAAAATTGTAATCCACCCACCCCCACCCCAACTTAAAAAAAAAAAAAAAAACCTTCACCTGTATTTAAATAGCGTGTCTTTAATTACAGCAGTTGGGGATGCATGAGGCTGAAATGAAATTAGCAGTCATTACCAGTCCTTTAACTCTGTGGTGCTTTTGATCAGCACTAAATTAGCTTTCCAGTCCTAACAAAGACTCTACAGCAAGCAGTGGGCTGTAAATAAGACAGCGCGACCTGCCCTCAACACCTTTTCTCTTGTCAATCATAGCTCTATCATTCAGCCCAAGATTAACCTTTATCTACCAAATTTAAAAAAAAAGAATGAAAGAAAGAAGAAAAAGAAAAAAGAAAAAGGAGGCGGGAAGGAAAGCCCCCTGACCAGCACATGTCGCAATAACAGAGGTTTCTAAGAGCCCCCTTTAAATTGTATTATAATGAGCCCGTGTCAGAATCTGCAATTTCCAAATCATCCCACCCCACCCCACCCCCTTCACCTCTGCAGTATATTAGAGAAGCCAGGATGCAGCTCAGGTAGGAAAGGAATTCCTTCCTCCGAATTACTAATTGCGCAATGGGCCACCCTCCCTAAGTCAATTTGCCATTAGCCGCTCCTCCTCTATTAATCTACAGAAATTTCGGGAGAGGTGGGGACATTTGAGGAGAAAACACTGATAATTTTAAGGCATATACATAAGTTTCTGGGATGAAAACAATCAGTTTACTCCACTAATAGTCTTTAGTTTCTAAGTCTGCGGAGAAAAAACCACCAACTGCAACAACAAAAACCCAGCTGCTTTTCCCAGCACCGAATTAAAAAAGTAAAACATTGGTTCGAGTTGCCATTAGAGGGCGCCAGAGAGCAAGCCCCAATCACCCTTCGCACAACTTCACACAGAAGCCCTCCCAGCGTCCAGCTTCAACATGTTCTGTAATTCCTTCTCAGGTAGTATGTCCTGCTTACCCTGACCTCTTGCAATCTCAATGTCAACCTCTCGTAAGATACTGAGGTGTCACCATGTGCCCCCTTCCTTCCCTTTTTTCACCCCCACCCTACCAAAATAGCAGGAGGCCAGAAGATAGTAGCAATCCTTTAATGAAATGTACCTATTGCCTCACACCACTTTTTCTACTCTGTGACCTTGGTCTGGAGGAGGCTCTTTGTAGGGGTGAAATGCTAGAATTAAATATTTTTAAACATGGAAGCCTGAATTTTTCATCTGTGCATTTCTCTCTGGGGTATCACGGATTTTTGCCTTTTCATAGGAAATAAACCACACAACACCCTTGTAAGGCAACTGATTATGTTCAGCACGAAAACTGTTCAGGAGAGAATAAAATAATGTCACTTCCTTTGTGCATTTGTTAGAGAAATCAAAACTAGCATTTAATTCCAAAAGTTAACACTTTCAGACTTAAATCTGTCTGTGTTAAATCACTGCCACACAGGATGTATTTCCAGATCTCTTAAAGGTCAAAAGAAAAAAAATAGAATGAGAGGGGAAGAAAGTGAGTTGGGGGGGGGGCGGAGAGGAGTGAGCTAGCAGTGAATGTCAAAGTTGGGTTGCAAGCTACTTACATGTCCATGCCAGATCAGGGTGTTGTCTTGTAGCAGTTTGATTGGCAGGTAAAAAAGCGAAAGAACGTGAGGGCTCCCTGAGCCTCTTGTCAGCCCAAGCTTGATCACTTCTCACCGGACAGAACGAGTTGAAGGAGCTTGCAATTCCCCTCTCATCCTCCATCCAAGGCACCGTGAATCCATTTCGGCTTTTCTTCCCCTCAGTCTCTCCATCAGCCTCCTGCCTTCACCCGCATCGCCTTACACCAGCCTCCAAGACCTAGCCTAGCTTTGCCACTGCAATCCCCTGCAACAAGAAAAATCGTTTATGGCTTAAAACCCCAAATGGCTGATTTTTTAAAAGAGAGAGAGAGAGAGAGGGAGAGGGAGAGAGAGGAGAGAGAGGGTGAGGGGGAGAGAGAGGGGGAGCGAGAAGAATGCACCCAGAGAACAACAAAAAAGTCAGTTATCCTAACACTGCTCTATCCCCCCACCGTACAGAAGAAGAATAAAAAAAAAAAAGCTTTATGTTTTTTCAGTGGGTATTCAAAGATAATTTGATGCCATTGTTTCTGCTACAGATGGTTCTTTTAAATACAATAACACGGCTCTTTGTGCAGGCTACCCACAATAAAAATCGAAAGCGTTCCCCTGAATAACCATTTTGTTCTCTCTTGTATGGGGCCAACAAAAGATGCCGTGAGGTAATGGGTTCTGTTTATTGAAGCCATAGAATAGAGGTTTGATAAAGATTTTTTTAAAGCAGAAGACCTTGCAAGGTCGGGCTGATCTCTTCATATTTTTTTATTAAAATATTTGTCCAATAGATTATTCCTTGGTGCAGCTGCAGGTTTCCTTCTCAATTCTTAATCAGCCCAAACATCTGTCTTTTTGAGGAGGCTTAAAAAAGTCTGCAATTGTATCAATGGTGCAGCAACCTTATCAAATCCTGAGTTTTTAGGCTCAGTGCAGGCATAGGCAATGGAGTTTCAATTCTATTTGGTCCTGATGGGGTGAGGCAGGAGGGGTGGAAGAGAGGAGACACAACACCCCCAGATAGAGCGACTGAAGAGAAGGAGGCACACCCCCCACCCCTTGGTGACCATGCATAAGCCAGACGCAGATCACTGAGGACTTGAGGTACGTCTCTGGGGCTCAGCAAGCTCTCCCTCGTGTGTGCATGTTGGACAAGGGCTAGGAATGTTTCCTTACCATGTTTGCCCTCTCATCTGGCTAGGTAGGTCTCCAATCCCTGAAAACCCAGGATGGGAACCCAAGGGGAGGAGTGGAGAAAGCTAAAGTTTAGCCCTAGCACCCAAAGGGTCCTCCTACTGGGCTCTCTTTCATTCATGGCTAGCTGGTTTTGGCTTAGTGATTGCTATTCTGCCAGGGGACTGGTGGCCACCGCCCTCCTTTAAAGCACCCCATCCCCTCAGGCTTGTTCTTACAGCCGCCCAGCTTCCTCCTCAGTTCCACGGAGAGCATCTGTTTCTGCTCGCCTGGGAAGCCCTGCCACCTAGACCCAGCTGAGGTCTGTATCAACTTTGAGAGAGCCCTGAGTCCTTAGGCAATGAGGGCGCTGCAAGAGATGTTGTTAGTAGATGGCTAGGGTGAGCCATCTTTCTATTGGAATTAATGGCAGGGCTCTCCAGGCCTCCAATAGCCTAGGGAGACAGTAATCCACTTTCATGATCTGCTCTGTGTGCTGTTACTTGTGGCAGGACAATAGTTTGGGAAAATAGCTTTAGTCTTAAAAACAAGTTTTCATTGGGTTCTCTATCTCTGTCCCCTGCCCAATCTACTCCTCCTTTTCTTTCCACAAGCCATTCAGAATTAAAGAAAGACAGAGGCACAAACGAATCCCTTGACAAACTCATCTTAACTTCTACTTTTCCTTTTGGAAACAATGTTACTGCTTTACAATTGGTTTGGAGGCCATCTAATAAGGGATTTTTAGGGACTATTTGTTTATTCACCAATTAAAGCCTTGTCTAGTAAACTTGGAAAACAAACACAAACAACAGAACAGAAAGTTAAACAATTTTTTCACATGGATTTTTGTTGAATATTAATTTAATGTCTCAGGATGAACAAGAATGAACGCCAGGGCAATACTAAAAATGCATGCACATCTCAACACTGTCTAGATCAAGAAAAATGTGCCTATACAAGTGTGAGTGTGTTGGGGGAGGAGGGGAAAGGATAGTATAAATCAAAAATGACTTTTCATAGAATAGGTTAAGGAGTATGTATTTGTTATTTTGGCATTATAGGAAACTAGGGGCATTATGCAAAATGGAAAGTCAACAGTAGAGACACTTCTCCCTACTAAAGGTGGGATGGGAGAGGGCAGTCGTAAAACAGGTGTAAGCCAGTGTTTCATAACTTTGCACTACAAGCTTTGGAATGGAATGATTTCTTTTTGCTTCCCTTGCCATGTTTTTCCCTAAATGTCAAAACTGATAAAGGGTGCCTCAATCTGATAAAAGTTATTTCTCCTTTTTATAATGAACTGAAAGAATAATCTGAGCTCTGGTCTTCTCTTTAATGAGGGAGGGGTTTGGGGCCTGAAACTAAGCCTATGAGTTAGGAAGGCATCAGCGAGCATCCCTGCATCAGCCTAAGGTGACTACAGGTGAGCAAACCTTGTGCATCTTCTCAATTGCATCTATTCAATCCCAGCCACAAGGAAATTTAAAATCTCCCAGTTGGCTTCACTCCCTTATGAAGGATCAGGAAGATAATTTTGCAGGCAAGTCCCAAGAGTTGTCTTAAAACTCGAATGCAATGCCATAATATCTGACATGGGGGAAGATTTCAGCCTTTAAGAAATGTGGGATGTGTGTCACCATGAAAGGCCCAAGTGGCAAATTCCCTTGGGGTGTAAGAGAAGCAAGAACCAATGTCTACACCTGGAAAACTGCTTTTAAAACAACAAAAACAACCCCTTCCTGTTTGAGAAAACAGTTTCAGAAGCTGACTGGTCAGCTTCTTTCTCATCGGAAGAGAAAACACACCACCAAAATGTTTCCAGGTTATAGGAACAGCTTTCTGACAACGTTGGGGAATCCCTGTGATCCCATTTAAGGTCATTTGTGGGTGACTGTGAATTGGAAACTCCACTATTCAAAAGAGCTTTGAGGTCACAGCTGAGCTCTGCAATATTACAAGCACAAGTTATCCTGTTGAGATGTGGGAGTTTACCACCCCCCAACACACACACACACACACACACACACACACACACACACACACAGTGAGTGAGTGGCACTTAGCTGGAAGGACTAAGACTGAAGCAGGGAGGGGAGAGGGTAGGAAGGGTGTATGGGAGAAAGCAAGGGAAGGGAGGAAGAAGGAAAAGAGAGAGAGCAAAGGTAGGCAGGGGATCAAAAAAAAAAAAAAAAAAAGAATTAAACTGACTAATGGCAAGACGCAATTTGGAAGCGGGGCCCTGCCCAGGAAACACCGTAGGGATGATCAGGGTCTGGAGTCTGCGGCGAGCCAATGACCACACAAATCTCGAGTTTCACAGAGAGGGCACAGGGTGCCCCCGCTTTAGCCATCAGCTGCTGGGAAAGCTGTAGTTTCTCCCTCCCTAAGCCAGGGTCCCTCAGACTGGCCGCTTCCACCCTCTCCACCCACGTGGGAAAAAGTCGGACCCCGACAGCTCGGGTCCGGGACCCTGGGCCCGGCTGTCCGCGCTCCAGGAGCGGCCTCCTCCGGGCTGCGGGCTTCTGGATTCCAGGACGCCCTTGGGGGGCGGCGGCTGGGCAGCTGACTTCCCCTGCTCCGCGGGCCGCCCTCCGCCCTGCGGCAAAGCGGGGCTCCCACCGCGGCGGGCCGCGCCCCGCGGGACAGGGCCACTGCTGCCCGCGTCCGCGAGGGTCCTGCCGACAGCGCTGTTGCGCGGACCACGGGCCCCTGAACGTCTTGCTCCCGTCAAGTCGCCCAAGACGATTCAATTATTCCCTTAGCCAAAACAACACGGCCCCGCAGCGCCCCTTGACACCCCCTCCAGCGCGCGGGGGAGCGCGGCCAGGCGGACGCCGGTGCCCGGCGCGGCCCGGGGAGGACGGGGTTCGAGTCCAAAGTCTGGAGATTCCAAACTCGCCCCCGAGCGCGCGCGCGCGCGCGCGCGGGGGCGAATGGAAAACCCCATTTTCAAAGCGTCTAGAATAAAGTTCTAGTCAGTCTCAGCCTTGTATCCTCTCCGTGGTCAGTGGCAACCCGAGGGCAACTGGGGCGAGGCAGAGTAAGTCCTCTCTGGCCCCGCGGCCTTCGGGTTTTCTGGCCCTGCGGGAGGGTCAGCTCCTTCGAGGTCGTTGGCGCTGGAAAGCCGAGACCCGCCGGCCCAGCTGGGGTCCCCCCCACTTCGTCTCCCTCCCCCCAACCTGGGAGTGGCTGCACCGCCGCCCACTTTCTCGCGCTCTGGGCTCGCGCGGCCCGGCACGCCTCGGTTCGCAGCCCCCGCGAGGCCGTCGTGGACGGCGCGGCCCGGCCACCCTTCCCCGCGCGCCGGTGCCCCGCCCCGGGGCTGCTCCACGCGCTGGCGGACGGGCGGGAAAGTTCTCCCAGACTAGAGACTCCCAAGTCGAAGTGACTTTGGAACCGCTCGATTCTCCCACGGGCACGGTGTGGCCCGTTTTATTTGTTCTCTAGTGACCCGCGCGTGGAACTCACAGCCCTGGGGGCGTTGGGAGGCCGTGCGTGCGCCCGGAGGGCCGTGCCAAGGCGAAACGTCAGGGCTGGAAGGCAGGGGCGTGAGGCCGGGCTAGCCCTCCCAGAGAAGGTTGACCCTCAGGTCAGTGGGACTCCATCAGGTAAGTGAGACTCTAGTTGGAAAGCAGAGGCGGTGAGCGTGTGAGTGCAAGCTTAAAGGCCGTCTGCTTTGGTAGTGTCCAAATACTTGGCATGGTCTTACTTTCCCGACGTGTTCAAATTTCTGGAACTCTCGGAGGTTCCATTAGCCCTTGTCTTATGCTATGTCTGATGACAGAGAGAAGGGTGTGCTTTTAAAACCAAGGGGAAAGTTGTTGGTAGTGGCGAGGCCTATAAGAAGCATTCATCAATGGCCTTCTTTACTTTTTCTAGTTATATCTAAAATGAAATTATACATGCTATCATGTTTTGAGTTTATATGTTAAAGTAATAGTTAAAATTTTTTGAACATTTAAAATCTGCCACACATTTTGTGACCCTTTGATTCCAATTCTTAATTTATCAGTATTTCAGAGTTTCATGAAGTGACAATATCTCTAGTATCTCAACCTCTGAGTAACAGGATAGTGGAGTGGGGAGACTGGACCACATAATATTTGTCTCATGTCCCTATGGAATATCCTTACCAGTAAGTACCGTGTTCCCAAAATTGCTCTTGCACAAATCTAAAATAAATTAACTTGCATGGTCCT